CTCTACGGCGGTAACATGGCCACAATCCGAAACGGTGCCTCCGTTCAGATTTACGCCTCCGTTAAGCTCTCCTCCAACAACACCAAGATCCACCATGTTTGGAACAGAGGACTTTACGTTCAAGGCTACTCTCCCACCATTCATCCCACTACTTCCACCGATCTCTCCTCCTTCTCCACCTTTGACGTTACTTCAGGTACCCAAATTCTTTCTCAACATTGCAACATATGCAAATCTTTACACTTCAATCCAACCATAAAAACTTGTTTAACAAAGTAAAGGATCTTGGTGGTTTCAAGAAAACTTTGAAATCAAAACAAAACTTGGGGATAGCTAGTTTCTATATAACATCAAGATTGATCTTACACTGTTTGTTCAATAGGATTTGCAACGGTTAATCGAAACAGTGGTTCCAGAGCTTTAAAGGTGACACACGGAATAATCAATGCAGTGGCGTGGGGTTTTCTTCTCCCGGCGGGAGCAGTAACAGCTCGATACCTTCGCCAAATGCAATCAGTTGGACCAACTTGGTTCTACATCCATGCAGCCATACAGCTAACCGGTTTCCTCCTCGGGACCATCGGCTTCTCACTAGGAATCGTGCTCGGCCGAAATTCTCCAGGAGTGACATACGGGTTACACCGGAGCCTCGGGATAGCTACGTTCACTGCGGCAGGGCTGCAAACGCTGGCCTTGCTGTTCAGACCAAAGACCACCAACAAGTTCCGTAGGTATTGGAAGTCTTACCATCATTTTGTTGGGTACGGTTGCGTGGTGATGGGCGTGGTGAATGTGTTCCAAGGGTTTGAGGTTTTGAGGGAAGGAAGGTCGTATGCGAAGCTGGGTTACTGTCTGTGTCTGTCAACTCTGGTTGGAGTCTGCGTGGCCATGGAAGTGAACTCGTGGGTTGTGTTTTGTCGCAAGGCTAAAGAGGAGAAGATGAAGAGAGATAGTTTGACCGGTGAAGATAGATGCAGTGGGATTCATAGTTAGGTCTTGGGTCCTAATTATAGGAGAAACAGAGACATGACACCATTTATATATATATCTTTGCTTAGTAACTCATCTTAATAATATACATTGTTGAGGTGTTTCCATCACTGTTCATATACTAAAAGATTAGATTTGAGTTTAGACATAATTACCGTAGCTTCTTCTTCAGAGAACTTCACCTAAAGTAAAGCTGTGAATCCATAAACAAAAATATATCATTGCCTTGTATCATGGAGAGCCTAGACGAAGGAGATATTAGCAATTAATACCCAGAAAAATAGACTTTGATATGGCACTTCGAAAAATATTACATAAACATCTTTTAAGATAACTACAAGTGAAACATCAAGATTCACCTGGTAAACAAGTTAAGTAGCTCACCCATGGTGATCCAAACAAATGATGCGAGGAAATCGGCATGACCGTTCGGATCTGAGAAAGAAAACATTTGGAAACAGAATAAACACAACATGTACTCATCAGCGGCTGACTCACATGAAGATTGTGCAGAATATCAATGTTACCTTAATTGATATAGAAAAAATCATAATTTCTTGAAGCCATATCCTTGCAATATGCACCTAAGGAAATCTGGGACCCGTTAGTGTCATAGGAGAGAAACTGGTTTCGGATATATGGCCATCACTTCCTCCTCTGCTTCAGTCTCGAGTGTGTACAAATGCTCACTTAAATCACCTCATCCTCTGCTTCCTTCACTTCCTGATTTCTAGTTACTCATCCCAGATATGGAACCCCCTCTCAAGGATTTGAAGCAACCTTAATCAATGAAGCTTGAGCAACAAACGATCTGTCTGAGCTTTCCAGTTAATTCTCCTCACCATCGCCCGTAATCAGGCAAAAATACTGAGGTATGAACAGAACATATCAATAACCTGTTTTCTTGTTTCTCAGGATGAAATTATTATGTTTGACTAACTCCCAAGTAACCATCGTAGCCATTATCTTTCATCATCCTCCTGACTCTGGCTACGTCGTCCCACATTGCTTCTGTTGCATATAGGTTTGACATCAATACATATAGCCCTCCATTCCTGTAATCCAACATAAACATTTTCTTAGCTACATATTCCCCAAGCTCCACCTCTCTTTTCACAATGCATGCACTAAGCAGAGCACCCCATACTGCAGAATCCGCCTTTATATCCATCTTCCAAATTAAAATCAATGCCTCGGTAAACAAACATGCTCGACCCAACAAACCAACCATAAGTGCACAATGCTGTAAACTTGGAGATATTCCAAACTCCTTGATCATTGCTCTGAAATATATTTTTCCTTCATCGACAAGGCCCCCATGGGTACATGCAGATATTACTCCCAAAAAGGTGATCTTGTCGGGTTTCAATCCCTGCTCTCGCATTTCCATGTAACAAGAAAAAGCTTGACTTTGTAACCCTGCTAAGCTGTATCCTGATATCACTGAGTTCCATGTAGCTGTGCACGGAGCTTTTATGCTCTTGAACACACTTTCTGCCAGTACTATATTTCCACATTTAGCATACATGTCTATAAGAGCAGTGCAAACAAACTTCTCTATTTCAAGATTGTTCCTAAAAGTATAAGCATGTAGTTTCTTCCCCAAATGCAAACAACATAGCTGAGAGCAGCCAGCAAGCAAACTTGCTATCGTAATGGCATCCGGCATAGGTCCACCACTTAACTTCATCTGATGGAAGACCTCAAAGGCTGTGCTTGCCCTTCCAGACTGTACACACCCAGATATCACTGAATTCCAGCTAATTATAGGAGCCTCCTCTAGTTGCTCAAACAGAAACAGGACAGTCTCCACATCATCAAACTTAGAGTACATGGTTATCAGTCCATTCACAACCAATGTTTGTGTGCACAATCCGCTTTTGATCGCAAAAGCATGTAACGACATTCCTATGTCGATGTGGGAAGAGTTTGAACATCCATGGAGAATTCCGACCAAAGCTATAGCATCAATTTTTATACAACGCTGTCTCATTTTAGAAAAATACAGGACCACAATGTCCATATCTCCTTTCTCGGCATAGCTTGAAACAATCGAAGTTAGACCAACAATACTATCTTGAGTAGCAGACGCATAAAGACGTTCTGCTGAATCCAAAGAGCCACACCTTGAATAAGCACAAATTAAAGAAGTAATCACAGAATTATCCTTCACCATTCCACTTTTAACAACAAGGCAATGCAATGGCTCGTGACTAACATGAGCAGAAAGAAGATTGATGACAGTAACAGAAGTAATTTCGACGCTCTTCTCAAACATATCCCTGAAAACAGTAAAGGCCTCTTCCTGGAGACCACTCTGGCTATAGGCACCAATCATTGTATTCCAAGAAACTGTGCTTTTGTCTTCCATTTCTGTAAACAAAAGTTTTGCTGAATCCAACTCTGTGCACTTTGAATAAAACGAAATCAGCGCATTTTTCGCCTGCGAATCCAGTTCCAGGCCAGACTTTGCAGCAATAGCATGAACAGACTTCCCTTGGGAAACAAAGCGACTGTGTCCACAAAAAGGTAGCAAATTTACAAGTGTGGTAGCAGAAGGGGAAAAGCCTTGCTGAAGCATGACGATAAAGAGTTTCCACGCGTCACTTTCATAGCCATTTCGTGAGTACCCACAGATCAACGCATTCCAAGCAACGGTATCTCGCTCAGGCATTTCATCGAACAACACGCGTGCAGTCGTTACACAACCCATCTTCAAGTAAAGATCAAGCAGAGATGTTTTCACGTAAACGAATCGATCAAGACCTGATTTCGTTAGATGGGTATGGACTCCTCCGACTTGTGAACTCAAGGAATCGAGAGAGGAATGAGGTAATAAGGAGGCAGTAGAGGCTTGGAGAAGGATAGACATTGTAAGATGATTTGGTCTGAGACAAGAACGGAGTAAGTCACGGAAGATAGAGATAGGAGAAGAAGAGTAATCACCATGGATACAAGATTTGAGTAGAGAATGGAAGAAAGAAAGGTCTTTTGTCAAAAGAGTTATGGGGTTCCCAATTCGCATACTCTCTGTCTCCTCTAGATTTTTTTTTGGTGTTAAAAAAAGTTTGTTCGAAATTTTCAAAAATATAACTTTATTGTATGTATTTGTATATATGTTTAATTGTCAACGAGTTCATAATTAATTTATAAGAGTATACTCCCTCCGTTCTCTCTTGTCTCATGAGTCATGACTTCTCCAAAATCCGAAAGATTTCAAATTTCAAAAAGAGGAGTAGTAATGGCTCGACAGCTACTTTAAGAAACTTGGGTTTAGGAACCGTTGGTACGGCCATGGTCCTGGTCGAGTCTCAATTATCGAACCACGCTTTGTTGTGTTTCAACTTGGTACTCGGTTCAATAATTAGGTTC